TTCCATTCCATGGTTTTTGTGGGAGTTAATGTCTTTCAAACTTGATATTAGAGACTTTTAAATAGATATGTTGCACAAGAAAATTGTTTCGGCCCCAAAATTCATTGGGCATGTTTTTTTGCTTTCGACATGATTTTTAGACATATTAAGAATAGTTCTGTTCTTTAATTCCACAACTCCGATTTGTTATGGTGATTCTGAAACCATTAAAGGGCAACAAATTCCATTAGATTTATAGAAATCATGGAATTCTTTGGAACTAAATTCACCTGGTCTATTTGTTCTCGAAAACTTTATTTCACAATCACAATTTTTTTTATAAAAGCTTTAAAATTTTTAAAAATAGTAAAAATATCTTATTTTTACTTTAAAAAATATATTCAAGTCTTTCTACCGACATAATTAATAAATAGTAGAAAATATTTATTTTTACTAAATGAAAGTGGACTGATTGGCCCACACACATAGGTATGCACTTGAAGTAGCTTGGTTGCTCTTGTAGTAGCTTTTCTTGGGAAACTCCCTTTTGAATGTTTTCCAAATAGGCATGCTTCACATAATTGATTAGGATGGCTGATCAATGGCATCCCCTTCACCATTTTTTCTTCTTCCATAGCCTTGAGTGCGCCAAAGTTCAAATGGTCAAATCTCATATGTCAACACCATGTTTCATCTTCCACACTAGCCTTCAAGCATCTTGCTTTAATAGTTTTGTTATTCAAAATAAATATTCTATTTTTACCTTAGTAATTAAATTAACACTTTGATCTCTAAGCCAAAAATAATAATCTTTCATATGAATTTCATATCCATTGTCAAGAAGTTGGCACAAACCCAAAATATTACTTTTTAATTTTGGTATATAGTAAACATTAGTAAAAGTACATGTCCATCATTTTTTAAAGAGATTAGAATTGTAAATTTTCCTTAAATTTGAACTTTTGAATAGTTTCTAAAAAAAATATTGTCATTGATCTTCTCATCAAGCTCAACAAATTTTTCTTTATTATCACACATGTAATTGCTTGCTTCGTTATCCAAGTATTATGAACTATGGGTATCACTATCTCCCTCTTTACATGCTAGTAACAAAGTTGTTTCTTCCTCATCTTGCTTATCATTGACAAAATTGGCTTACTTCTCCTTCTTATTTGAAGTGTTACAACATTTTCAAGCATAGTATCCATATATGTGATAATTATAACATTCAGTATTTGATTTGTTAGAATTTCTATAGTTACTTCTTCATCTTCCTCTTCCACGACCTCTATTTGATGGTTGACTTTTGTCTTCATTATTGGCATCATTTTAAGTGTCATTTCTTTTTAATGCTTGACCACAACCACGACCACGTCCTCTACCTCTTCCGCTTCCTCTTTGTTTTTCATCATCATTCAAAGAAGCATTTGATTTAAGAATTTGTTCCAAATGCTCTTTTTGTCTTTTTTATTTTTATTTTTTTCTTCATGAACTTGTAAAGATCCCTTTAGTTGCTCAATTGTCAAAGTGTCTAAATCCTTTGATTCTTCAATGATACAAACATAGTCAAATTTTGGGGGCAATGATCGGAGAATTTTCTGCATCACACAAACATCTTTCATCATCTCACCATATCTCTTCATTTGATTTACTATAGACTTTGCCCTTGAGTAAAAATCTGAAATGGATTCAACATCATTCATTTGCAAAGCTAACTCGTCTCATGAAGTTTGGAGTCGCACCTTCATTACCTTGTCAACTTCTTGAAAAAAATTCTTCAAAATCTCCCAAGCTTGCTTTGTGTTGGTAGCATCGGCCACATTTAGAAACATAGATTTATTGAAACCTTGATGGATGAGTGCAAGGGCTTATTGGTCTTTCTTATTTTTAGTTAAGGATCCTTCATTTTTAGGTAGAGTAAAGTCTCTTTCTACAATCTCACATATCTTGTGAGCCAAATATAACTTTTATATGAAAACATCAACTCTCAAAGTTTTCTTTTATAAGATGAGGAAATTAGAATGAAAATAAATTATTACTAGTTATCTCTCTAAAATTTTAATAAGAAATCAAGTTCTGATATCACTTTATTTAGGAGGAAAAAACTAGAGAGACTAATGAAAAAACTCAAATTTTTCTATTGTGATTGTTACAAAAAAATTTTAAATACATGATTATTTATAAGTACTATTACAATTATTAAAATTAATTGTAACCGCGAAAAAATATAATAAATCTAATTTATGACTCGTAACTACTAACAAATCAAAAAATATGTAAAGACTCTAATTTATGAAATTTAATTATTAACAAATTAATTAATTATATTCTTAATTTGTAAATTAATTTTTAATAGATACAACTAAATAAGTTTTTTTTATTAATAAAATAATTATTAGAGTACCTTTAAAAATAAATTTTTTTAAGAACATCCTCAATACATCTCATATAATTACTAACAAATGTACAATTATGTTGGAATACAAGCCTACTAATCCATGGAGACACAGTAATTGCATATATATATATATATATATAGGTAAATTGTGACAATCTCTCTTTTAGAAAAATTAAATTCAAGAAAAATATATCGTAAATTTTAAATTTTCTATGTAGTAAATAAATCAGAATAGGTCATATTAATTGAAGAATGTAAATTTCTTGAGTTAGTTGTTTGATTTTCTGTCTTTACTGTTGTATAACAATAGTCAACTACGAGTTCCATTAATCCCATGGAGACAACTTTACAAACACCTGTTTCCTCTCGATTGTGAATTATATATTGGCCAACCATAAAATCGCTGGTCTTTTCCGTTCATTTTGAATCTTAAATTAGGAAAGAACATGATTAGACCATCGTTGAAAATCTGTATCTATGTATATATATGTATATTTATTCCAAAATAGGTAACTAACTCCTCAAACCTCTCCTGTCCAGACCTGTTAAGGTGTGCTTTCTTCTCATCAGAAGAATAAAAGAAGTAAAGGCGAAGAAGAAGCCAATAAAGGAAACAAGAAAACAGGAAAATAGCAACAACGTATCTTTTCTTTCATCCCAATCTCTCTGCCTTAGTCCATATTCTAAGGCAGAGAGATCTCTGCCTACTCCACAGCCCCAATAATGGTGTTCCAAGACTTTGATCAAATTCAACAACGTCGAAAAGCCGAAAGGCAACGTAAGTTTCGTAAGAGACTTCTCATTGCTTCCCTTACCTCCGTCATCCTCATCGCCCTTATCGCCGCCGGAGTTTTTGCACTTGCCGCTGCTAAGAAAACCGGTCCTGAACCATCCACCACCAATAACCATCACAAGGCTGCAACTCATCCCATCCCTGCAAATGCTACACCTTCACCTGATAAAGGTGATAATCTTTCTTCTTCTCGTCTTCAAAAGCTCATTAACTCCGTCTGTAATGGTACCCTCTATAAGGATTCTTGCCTCAAGACTTTGAATAAGACCGTGGGTGACAATCAAAACGTTACTTCAGCTCAACCCAAGTTTCTTCTCAGCTCTGCAATTTCTGCAATCGATGAGGAAATCAACAAAGCTTTTGACAAGGTATTGACCTTTAATTTTCAAACACCAGAAGAGAAAGATGCCATTGAGGATTGCAAGGCACTCGTAGCCGATGCTAAGGAAGAGCTGGAAGAATCCATTAACAACGTTAATGAATTTGATGCTCGAAACTTTTCTACCGTTGCTCCAGAATTGAACAATTGGCTCAGTGCGGTTATGTCATATCAAGTCACCTGTACTGATGGATTCCCTGAAGGGAAACTTAAGACAGATATAGAGAAGACACTTAACTCTTCACAACTTCTCACTAGCAATTCTCTTGCCATTCTTAAGCAATTTTCTACCCTTGTATCATCATTGCCAAAGGTATTAGGATCTCCTCCCCGCCACCTCTTAGGATGGGAATCTCACTCATTGTCCAAAAACGAAAAGCTTCCTGATTGGATGAGCCACGAAGATAGAAGAATTTTGAAGGCGGTGGATCGTTCCAATTTGAATCCTAATGTAACAGTGGCCAAAGATGGTAGTGGACAGTTCAAAACAATTTCCGAAGCTCTCAAGGCAATGCCAAAGAACTACACTGGAAGGTAACTCTCATAATTATAAACATTTAATTTGTATTTATTTTGGTGTTAATTAGAACATGCACATTAATTTCTTATGCTTTTCAACAAATTATTTTTAATGGGAAATTTAGGTATATCATCTATGTAAAAGAAGGAATTTATGATGAGTTGGTGACAGTGGATAAAAAGATGGTAAATGTTACCATGGTGGGTGATGGATCAAAGAAGACTATAGTCACAGGGAACAAAAATGGTGCTGCCAGAGTTCCCACTTTTAGAACTGCAAGTTTCGGTATCATACTATCACTCTTTCTTTTCATAAATAATTATACTTGAAAGGAAGTAATTATATATAACGATCCCAACATGAATGCATGCATGCAGTGGCTCTAGGAAGCGGATTTATGGCACAAGCCATGGGATTCAGGAACACTGCAGGTCCAGAAGGGCACCAAGCTGTGGCAATTAGGGTTCAATCTGATCGTTCAGTTTTCGTAAACTGCCGCTTTGAAGGATACCAAGACACCTTATATGTACAAACCCATCGCCAATTTTACAGAGGCTGTGTGATAACAGGAACCATTGATTTCATCTTTGGTGATGCAGCAGCCATCTTCCAGAACTGTCAGATTTTTATCAGGAAAGGCTTGAATGGTCAGAAGAACACTGTTACTGCACAAGGAAGAAGTGATCCTTTCGAAACAACTGGAATCGTTTTACAGAACTGCACCATTACAGCAGATGATGATCTGAAACCCATTAAGAAAGACTTCAAAAGTTACCTGGGTAGACCTTGGAAACTTCACTCAAGGACTGTTATAATGGAATCCACCATTGGAGATGTGATTGAGCCTGCAGGGTGGCTAAAATGGCAAGACAACGACTTTGCACTTGACACATTGTATTACGCAGAATTCAACAATGATGGAGCTAGTGGTGATACTAAATCTAGGGTTAACTGGCCTGGAGTCAAATTCATTAAAAGAGAAGAAGCCTTAAAGTATACTGTAGGACCTTTCCTACAAGGAGCTTGGATCAATGCTACGGATGCTCCTGTTAAGTATGGCTTATACGATGTTTAAGCTTCGCATTTCAGTTTGTTAAATTAGTAGTATGTTTTAACAGGTTGATTTTTTTATTAAAAGAAGAAAGAAAGAAAGAAAAAAAAATGCAAATTTTTGGACCCAAACTTATTACATTCTTCATTCCACCAGGAGCTCACATTGTACAATTCTGTTGTTTGGTTTATCACCTTTTTATCTTAAACTCAACAAGTGGAAACCATATATATATATATATATGTCCTACATGTATAAGACATCAATTCTTTGCATCTAGTAACACTGTAACACAACCAATTATATGCTAGAATTTTGTTCCATTATTCCTTTAAAGCAATTTGGTTTATTTTAGCATGAATACATATTTTTGGGAATTTGCCAGAAATTCTTGTAAAAACTAGACAGCGCTTCTCTAGTTGAAACTATTTTCTCATACAATGTTCTGGAAAAAAAATGTTAATTTTCAATATGTGTATTATGAATGCATGTTGTGAGTGGTTTTGTGAATTTGATGATAAATTTATTCTTGTGGATTATATTGTACTTATCAACTGATTCTATTATCCTGTGTAATTAAAATAAAGTAATATAATTTTCATAGTATCATCATTCAGAAATGTGCTTACCCCAACCAAAATTTTCAAAATTAAAGTGTACATCAATCAAAATCATGTTGGATTCTGGTGGAAGACTCCGAGTGCCTAAAATAATTAATATTTCAATTAGAAGCATTACACTAATAGGAATATTGAATTTTTTAGGTTTAGAGCAATTTATATCTGGTAAAATCATATCCAAACGATATTCTACTTCTTTCCTATTCACGAGTTTAAATATAGTGTTATTTCAAAAAAAAATTCAAATTTATCGATATATCCAACTTTTGAATTAAAGAGAATGTACATTATCTGCAAATTTGATATTTCTACCTATGTTTTTGTACTTTGTTTTCTAAAAAAAATTGGAATTGTCAAAGAAATGATAGAAAGAGTGAATTTTTTGTTTCTCTACAGCTAAATTTAGAGCAAAAATATAATAATAAATCTAGAAGTTTATATAATTAATTTTTCAAATCTGTAGGATTAATTCATTACTTGTGTGCTATTTAACTTATGCATGATTAGAAAAGCTTAAGCTATATGGTTAATTTTGTTGAATCAAGTTTAAGTGGGAGTCTTCAATTTTATGTTTACCTTAATTTAGTAGAGTTGTATATTTCTTTTTTTTTTTTTTCTTCTTCCAAAACTCAATTACAAAAGGTATATGTAAGTAGCATACGTTCATACTATAACATTGAACAAAACTTACACATTTACCTAAACTATTACATATTAAATTATACCTTAAGAATAATAAATATATGAATTAATACTTGTAATGAATCTAAACATTCAAGAATCCGCAAAATTCAAATTAATCTCAATACTTCCCTTTAATTTGAAACTTCTTCCTTATTCTAAGACTTGCTTGCAATCTTTTTTTTTAGGGGTTTTGTGAGAATATTTACAATTTGATCTCAAGTCTTTATATATTTGAGTTATAAATAGTATTTTGTGTTTATGTGCTTGTTTTAATCATGAAAAATTAGATTCTTAGCTAGTGTTTTATGCAAACTTGTTTTCAATATAAATTTCATAATTTTTTTTTAAAAAAAAAACTAAATAAGATAATAAATGTAAGAAATTGCAATCACATATTTAAATTCACGAATTCAAAGTGTGATGATGGACTGTTTTTTTGAAGTTTATATAATGACAACCATACTTATTAATAACACAAATCCGACAGTGTGATGATGGACTGCTTTTTTAAAGTTTATGTAATAGCAACAGTACTCATGAATAACACAATCCCAATAATATTCTTTTATTTATCACTATCTTCGATAAATCATTATTATATTAAGTAGTTTAAATTTATTATATAGTGAATAAAATAATACGAAATTTATTATACTTTTTAGGTAGCAGAAGAATTTTTTTTAATAACTTTTATATAAATAATTATAAGAACTTTTATAAAATGACTTACTATTCTAATTTCAGAGAAAATATTCATGCGAGTAATTATAATAACTTCAGAAAATTAAAACTAGCTAGAGCTGCTAAACAGGTGGAAGGTAGCAAATTATACAAAGGCATGCCATGGCATACATCTAGAGATGGCAACGAGTTGGTTGGCGTGGAGAAGAGACACTTAATTTCCTTTGGTTTTTATGTAATTTTCCAATAAAAATAAAAATACTAAAAATTATTTCTCTACATTAATTGGATAAATAAAAATTCTTTTTTCTCTATCTCAATTCCCAATGTAATAAGATTATTTATGCTGAGTGGAGTCTAAACAATGCTTATTATATATAATCCTAATGTAAATTTTGATAAAATTGAAGGTAAATTGCCACCCGTGTGTATATACATATATATGCATAGATATGTATGTATGTATGTGTTGTAGATAAGTTGTCTAATCAAGAAACATGCGAAAGGTTGAATCAGCAATTTGGACAAATAAACATAGCCAGGTTTCTTTCTATATATATATATATATATATATATATCTATGCCACATCAATTTGTTGGTTTCTTTATATATATATATATATATATGCCACATCAAACGAAGCATTATCCGACAAGGCTATAACATGCCCACTTTACTTTTTTAACTTTTTCAATATTTGAGATCAATCCAAATTTCACATCCCTATCCCCCATTTGCTCTCTTTTCACTTTTCTCCATTTGTACTTATCGCAATTATTTCAAAACATTTATTTTTTTTCCATTTTAATTTAATTCAATTTATCTTTTTTTTTTTAATTTTAAATTATTTATTAGTTCATTTCAAGAATCGTCTAGAAATTACATTAAAAATAATTCACGAATTGAATTAAAAAATAAACCCAATTAGTAGCCTACAATTATATATATATATATATATTTAACCTAAATAGATTTTAAAATATGAGTTAAGCTCAATTAATTAATAATTTTTTATGATTAGTAAATTATTTATTTATTTTGATTCTGAGTAATCAAATAATAATTAACAATATTTCTTTTTAAAAAATAATCTTACAACATTCGTCTCTCAAATCATAATAAAGAACTCCATTGCATATATATATATATATATATATATATATATATAATATGCAATATATACCATCTATAAAATAGGAAACCTAGGCCCCTTTCTTTATTGAAGTAAATATTTCACCCTTTTCAAAATAAGTAGATTATGGCACAAATTAACTCCAAAAATATATATTAACATATATTCATCAAATATTACCACGTAATTGCAAGTTAAATGTATGATTATTTTTAATTAAATAAATTTTCAATTCATATGTTAAATGATATCTATAGTGTAAACTATTTTTATTTTTAATTATTTTTTAATATAATAATAAATTTTAAAAGAAATAAATAAAATTCTCCTTCGTAGAAGCACCAAGATGAATTATCCCTAACACACCCAAGATTTTATTTTTTTTATTCATATAATTTTTTATTTTTTATTATATTAAAAATAATTATAAATCAAATTTCTTTTATGTGTCAAATTCATTAGGGTATTATAACTTATTTCAATTAAAGATTTTCGAAGTAAATAAATAATTACTCTTTTTACTATTTAAAAATATTTAAATAAATTCTTTTAACTTTTTATTATTTAAGATTAATTCTTATACCTTCAAAACGTGATTAAATAAAATTTTAACCGTTAAAATCATTTAATTACATTAAATTTATGTCTGTATATATATATATATATATTTTTTGTCCTCATTGTGTTCCACATGGCATCTTGTGGACAACAAAAAAATAAAAGAAATCTGTAATGCCCAAATTAATTTTTATGTAATTTAAATTAATTTGTAAATATAATTTTTAAAATTTTTAATTTTAACTTAATGTAAAAATGAAAGAAATTTGAAAAAGGATGAAATTGAAAACAATTTTAAGAAAAACTGGTGAATATTTGGGTTCTGTGAGCATTTTTGAAAGAAAAATCAGAAATTGATGATCAAAATACAATTTAGGAAAGTTGTGCTACGTGGGATTCCCAGGCAACAATTCTGACAAACCAGAACGTGCCGCGTGGCAACGGACACTGACACGGTGCCACGCAGGAGGCCATGCTAGCGATCCGCGTGCCCTCGATCAAACGGCACATATTCGCTCCCGCGCGCATGGACCACCCAGATGTGTTCCTTCCCCAAATACGATAGGACAGTCAGATTTAAACGCGATCAACGGTCTATATCTACTTCCTATTTAATCGCAATCGGATGGTCCACATCAAACATAATGGACGACCTAGATTAAAAGGTGACAGATATAAATAACCATCTTCACACCAAACCCTAACCCTAGCCGCCAGACCCCCTCGTCGGAGAAGAAGACCCAGCCACCAGGAAGGAGAGCTGTCGTCACCCGCCATCGCGCCAGAGCCACTTCCAACCGCTAAAAGAGGTAAAATTTTCTCGTTTGCTCGGAATTTCATTTTAAACACTCTTATAGACAAATTGGAGCCAAAAGACCGACGGATTGGCCGAAAATCGCGGGCGAAACCTGGGGCACCGCCGCGGAAAATTTCAAAAACTGCCTCCAATGAGGCCCTTCCCGATTCCCGTTCTACGAAATTTTTTCATCGTTGTCATCATTGTTTCCTTCTCTACAGGTTGACTGAAGCAAAATACCCAACTGTGAAAGTGAAATAGCAGAGCCACCACACCGGAGAGCTCCCCCACTGGTGAATTTCGGGTATTTTTTTTTTTGGGCAAACTGAGGCCTTTAACGTATTTTCTTGCAGTGATTAATGCAAAACCGGTCGAAAAAAGCCAACTCGAGGCAAACTGCCGTCACAGGCAGTGGCGCCATCGCTGGAGCACGGTGGAGCTGTCGTGCTAAAATTTCAGAATTGGCCAAAAAGGGATCCTGACACTGTTTTTGGATTTTTTGAGATATTTGTAGGTACTTATAACGTGTTTTAATCCCCGAAAAAAAATTCA